GCCTTGTTGTTGAAGCCGATACCCTGGCTTCTTTTCAGTCAGGCTGGGCGCATAAACAAATATTGACTTCCTGTTTGGATGTGTGAGAAGACAAGGTGGCTGGATTCCGGCATACAGCTCCGGGCTCCTCTCAACTGACAGCCACACTCTGCAGACTGCCTTTCATTCCTCACCATGTGAGGGGTGTGAGTGAGTGAATGAGTGAAGGGTGTGAGTGAGTGAGTGAATGAGGGGTGTGAATGTGAAAGAGTGAAGAGATTCACACTGGGAGCTCTGCCGCACTCTCCTGTGTGAGGGTGTATCACTGTGTCTGTGTGAGTCTCACTGTCTCACTATCACTGTGTCTGTGTCAGTCTCACTGTCTCACCATCACTGTCTCACTATCACTGTGTCTGTGTCAGTCTCGGTCAGCGACAACGCCCTTCCGTCTCTCTCTGCAGTGTTTGGCAGAGGACAGCCAGGCGGTGCTGAGCACAGAGCCCACAGACACCAGCCTGGAGGAGCACAGCTTCGCTGCCCTCGTCCTGTCCCTGGACATCAGCATGATCTTCATCTACCTGCTTCTGCTCAGCGACTAGCACTGGCTGGGACACACACTCTCTCCATGTCACACACACACTCTCTCTCTGTGACACACACACACTCCCTCTGTGATGCGCACACACACACTCTCTGTGACACAGATATTCTATGATACACACTCTCTCTGTGACAAACACACTCTCCATGTTACACACACACAGACACACTCTCTCTGTGACACACGCACACTGTGATACACACGCATCAAGTGATACACTGAGATACAGACATACAGTGATACACACATTGTGATGAACACACCAGCATTCCCTACTGGGAAACCGTGCACACCTACACAACACAAGTTCTGTACTACGAACATTCACGCAATCATTATCACAGCATCATCACAGACCCCCGAACGTTGTCACTAAGAAAAGTGTCATATGTTTAGTCCTTATATTGTGCTGTTTTTATAATAATTGCTTACACTTCTATAGCGCTTTTCTGGACACTCCACTCAAAGCACTTTACAGGTAATGGGGATCCCCTCCACCACCACCAGTGTGTAGCATTCACCTGGATGATGCAACAGCAGCCATAGTGCGCCAGAACACTCACCACACATCAGCTATCAGTGGGGAGGAGAGCCGAGTAATGAAGCCAATTTATAGAGGGGGATTATTAGGAGGCCATGACTGGTAAGGGCCAATGGGAAATTTTGCCAGGACACCGGGGTTACACCCCTACTCTTTTTGAGAAACGCCATGGGATTTTTCATGACCACAGAGAGTCAGGACCTCGGTTTTACATCTCATCCAAAGGACGGCGGCTGTTTAAAGTATAGTGTTCCCGTCACTATACTGGGGCATTAGGTCCCACATAGATCGCAGGGTGAGCACCCCCTGCTGGCCCCACTAACGCCTCTTCCAGCAGCAACCTTAGTTTTTCCCAGGAGTCTCCCATTCAAGTACTGATCAGGCTCATACCTGCTGAGCTTCAGTGGGCTGACAGTTGTGAGTTGCAGGGTGATATGGCTGCTGGCTATGTATCCTCTTTTACCATCAACCCTGCTTTGGGATATTTTTGGTATGGAAGGTGCTTTATAAAATAAAGTGTATTGTGATGATTATAAGCAGTGGGACAGCAGGGTAGCACAGTGGTCTGCCATGCTGCCTTGTAGTACTGGGACCCTGTGGTCAATGTTCTCCCTGTGTTTGCCTGGGTTTCCTCTAACAGTCCAAAGACATGCTGGTGAGGCCAATCAGTTTCTGGGAAAACTGCATCTGGTGTCCTGTCCTGTCGTGTGTGTCCTGTGATGGACTGGTGTCCTGACCAGAGCGTACCCTGCCATGTGCCCAGCACCTTGCTTGCTGCAATAGACTTTGGCTCCCACCTGACCCTGTACTTGGTGAAGTGGTTAGAAAAAGGATGAAAGCATTATTAACAACAATATTACTTTTTAGAGAAGTGGTGTTGGTGGACCAGCAGGTGGCGCTGTGTGCTCTTTTCCCAGAATTTCCCCCTGAATGGGAGGGGCCAGTCAGGCACACTGGGTCATCAGAGGTGCCTCCCTTCCAGTGAGCTGCAAAACTGACGTGGTCCCTCCTATGGACCCTGAGAGAGAGGCCAAGGCTGTGGGGTGAGACAGGGCTGCAGCCTGAGCCCAACACTGTTCAATATCTATATCAACGAATTAGCAGGAATGTTAGAACCGTCTGCAGCTCCTGGTCTCACACTATACGACACAGAAATCAAGTTCCTGCTCTACGCAGATGACCTGGTCCTGCTGTCGCCCACAGAACGGGGGCTGCAGCAGAACCTGGCACTGCAGGAGCAGTACTGTCAGACCTGGGCACTGCTGGAGCAGTGATGTCAGACCTGGGCACTGAGGGAGCAGTAATGTCAGACCTGGGCACTGCTGGAGCAGGACTGTCAGACCTGGGCACTGCTGGAGCAGTGATGTCAGACCTGGGCACTGCTGGAGCAGGACTGTCACACCTGGGCACTGCTGGAGCAGGACTGTCAGACCAGGGCACTGCTGGAGCAGGACTGTCACACCTGGGCACTGCTGGAGCAGGACT